AGAGGATGCAGACTGGGAACAGAGTTCTTGAAATTTCATGAAGTCATTCCCTGCTGGGAGTCACTAAGTTACACTTGTGGAACATAAAAGTTACACACTGGTAATGGTAATGGCAAGAGTTGCCTGTTACCAGTGCAAAGCATATCATACTAAGCTCATTTGTGGGTAATTCTCACCTGTATTGCTCATATTAGATTTGGTTTTAGGGGCTGTTTTTTGTTATTACTTCATTTCATTGGTGATTTTTTTTTTTTTCTTCTGCACCTGTAGGTCAACACGACTGTGTGACTGTCATCAACAACTTCTTCCCACGTGAAAGGCTGGACTACTATACTAAACCACAAGGCTTAGATAACGAACCAAAACTGCCAGTAAAATTAGCTGGGCCTCTACATAAAATTATTACCACCACTAACATGCATCCTGTTAAGGTGGAGTAATATGTAAATTGTATGTGTTTGTTGGCATGGAAACTGTTTGCTTATGTCAGAACGCATTCAGCTCTTCTGAGAGTCCAACTGAGATCAAAAGCATTACCCAGTAATTCAGATGCTTCTGAAAATGAGAAAGAATTGGGCTCAACATTTAGACATGGTTAAAAATGAAGCTGTTTCAGAGTTTATATACACCAGAATCTTGAACTAACACCTTTAAGAGGAAAGATTCTTAGTTTTTACATCAATAACCATAAATAGCTTTTTTTTTTTTTTACTTTCTTTTTTTCCTAGCCCCACTTAAAGTGGAAACATAAAACAATTTCCTATCTTAACAAAATCTCATTGTTCTCTCAATGCTTATCTCCACATGTATCTTCCTACCTTCATCGCTGGTTCACCATAGTAACATCTACTGCTGCTGCTGTTTCTGAAAGTATGGGCAAGAGATGTTTATTTTTACTTCCCAGTATATTTGCTGAAAATAATGTCTTTTATGGTTTGTTCCTCTAGTGTAGTTCAGAGAAGTTAATACACCTAAATTCAAAGTTCCTTAGGCTTGCCATTCAAAGTCAGGAATTTGTCAACAGTTGCCAGCCAGGTATCTGTGGTACATAAAACCAGTAACGCACCAGTGGCAGGTAACTGAGTTAGTATACAGTTTCCTCTTAAAATAGTTAGTTCAGTGCTTTACTAGTCTACCTGAAGTACTCCAAGATTATGTGAGGTTGATGTGTTCTGTGGAACTGCTTCAATCATACACGTCCAGTTTATTTTAGGTGTTCAAAAGGAAAGAGATTTAGGACAGCATATGGTAGTTTCTGTAACTGTTTCTTTTGAAGTAGTTTTGGTTCTTCATGTTCTTATTCTGAAAAAAAATCCTTGTTATTTTTAATACCAATCTTAAGTGTTTCTTGTATGGGAGCTGCGAATTACAGTGTACTAGATAAATAATACTAAATAATGTCTGAAAAAAGAAGGGGAAGACTGCATAAGACAGAACTAGACAAATATTAGAAACTCCACTGAAATTGAGCTATGATGAGCGACATAACCTTTAATGCTAATGCACAAGTTTAAAAATGCTAGTTCCTAACTGGATTACGTTTTCTTCAATCTTTCTCATAGATTGTGTTGCTGGTAAACGAGAACCCTCTACTGGCCGAAGTAGAAGCACTGCAGAAATGTTACAGGGTTCTGGATCTAATTTGTGAGAAATGTATGAAGCAGAAAGATATGAATGAAGTCCTTGCTATGAAAATGCACTACATCAGTTGTATCTTCCAGAAATGCATTACATTTTTAAAAGAGCGAGAGGATAAACTAGATGGATTTATCAAAAGGTACGTATTTCTACAGAGAGCTCTGAAGGCGTGTGTGTAAACCAGCTTTACAGATATCAGAAAAAGATAACTGTATTAATACATTGAACTGTCTTGGATAAAGGCTATGCCAAGCAAATTTTGAAATAATCCCAGCTGCAGTCACTTCAGGGTGGCACTGACTCCCTTTCTTTTGTCTGAAGTGGCATTGTCCTTTCCTGGGGTCCAAAGGAAATGTTCCTGGAGTTTCGGCTCCCTGCTGGCACTAGTGAGAGCTTGGCAATCCCACATACACTATGAGGCAGCAGAGACCAGCATGTGGTGGGGAAAAAGGGGAGCGATAGGCTGAAAGAAGAATTTCTCAGTGTCCAGTATGGATCGTCTGGGAACATTTCTCTTGCCATTTTGCTCTCCAGTAGTCATACATGGTGAGATTTTTTTTTTTTCAAAACCACTTAAGCAACCGCGAACTGTAAATCCTACTGGCTCTGGATGAGACTTTGACTCTTAAATCACTTAGATCTTCAGAATCTACTCAGAGTTACAAAACCGGCTGCCTGATCTTAAGTATCCAAGTGGCCTGGCTTTTAAAAGGATTACGTTCTCCACAGACCTCTGTGGATTTCTGTGTGATACTGAAAATAAATTATGGAGTCAACTTTGACGTACTGAAATCAAACAGTTCATCAGTGATCCATATAAAAAAAGTAGGAGCCAACCAGATAAATGTAGTGGCTTCAGGACTATAGTATGTTATTAAACATAACTAAAGCAGAATTTGTGTTTTAAAGTATTGTGAGTTCTTCAGTGTTCATTTTTACAATGCTTGTTTTTAAACACAACAAAGAATTTTGCTGCTTTAGTCAGATGTGGATACTAATCTACCTGTAGATGATTATTTGTGTGGTTGAGTTAGTAAGTAGTGGTTTCAGAGCATACATTTAGTTATTTTATATTTCATAATGATTGTGCATTCGAATAAAAATAATTTCATTTGTATTTTAAACACTTTTACGTATGAAGTTGCCAAATTAATTTGAATTACAATTCTTTTCCATAATTTGGAAGAGGACAGAGTCCAGCATGCTGTGTATTTGTTCTTGAATGTTTACTGTGTGATTTCTTATTTGACTTTGGTTTTAAAAAATTTAGTCTCTTGAAAGGGAGAGATAAGGATGGTTTCCCTGTATATCAAGAGAAGCTAATTCGAGAAAGTATCCGCAAGTTTCCTTACTGTGAAGCTACATTGCTCCAGCAGCTCGTGAGAAGTATTGCTCCCGTTGAAATAGTAAGTTTTTCCTATCAAGAAAATACTTGCTGATCACCTTGCATAGTAAATTCAGTTTAAACTAAGCCATCTTTCTGTTTCTCAGCTTCTGCAATGTATGATATTAAGAAAAGTTTTTTTGATGTCCCTGAACATTCTGGCAAACTGGAATTTTATTTTACATATTGCAGGAGGGAGGTTCTCCTCCCCCTCTACTCTGCCCTAGTGAGGCCCCATCTGCAGTACTATGTCCAGTTCTGGGCTCCCCACTTCCAGAAAGATGAGGAGCTACTGGAGAGAGTCCAGCAGAGGGCTACGAGGACGATGAGGGGACTGGAACATCTCTCCTACGAGGAAAGGCTGAGGGAGCTGGGCTTGTTTAGCCTGGAGAAGGCTGCGAGGGGACCTTATAAATGCCTATAAATATCTGAAGGGTGGGTGTCAGGAGGATGGGGCCAAACTCTTTTCAGTGGTGCCCAGAGACAGGACAAGGGGCAATGGGCACAAACTGAAGCACAGGAAGTTCCGTCTGAACATGAGGAAGAACTTCTTCCCTCTGAGGGTGACAGAGCCCTGGAACAGGCTGCCCAGGGAGGCTGTGGAGTCTCCTTCTCTGGAGATATTAAAGACCCATCTGGACGAGGTCCTGTGCAGCCTGCTCTGGGTGACCCTGCTTCGGCAGAGGGGTTGGACTAGATGACCCACAGATGTCCCTTCCAACCCTGAACGTTCTGTGATTTCTGTGATTCTGTGTGAAAATGCTCTAAAATACTTCAACTAGTAGTTTTTTTCCTGTGTCCATAATGAATGCTTAAATACCTCAGCTTTTAAAGAAAGTTGAAACAATTTGTTTCTGTGCCAGAGCTTTCTTTTCCTACTCTGGGATGTCTATTCAGTTTTTCTTTGCCAAATTGCTGTTACAAGTTGTAGATTCAGACACAGATGAAACCCATTTTGCACGCTTTTTACCCAGTGTCTAAATTCAGTTTAAGATAAAATCATTTCCTACATTTAATGCATTCATTATTTCTAGTGTACACAAAAAGTTGGTAATATATCATGGTAGAAAAAGGGAAATCATTTTGTGAAGCTCCTTTTATCTCAAGGAGAGGCAAGATGATGCAATACAGAGCAAAATGTATATCTGAATTAGGAAATCAATTACAAGGAAACTAATCTAACTTCAGTTTTCCTCGTATGCCTTTGCTAACGCACTCTTCATTATAGTACTATTAATTAGTTCGCAATACATCTTACACGAGTTACTATTGTTTTTTAAGAATGTTCTCTCCAGTCTCCGAGAGCTTGATGTTCTATGCTCTAAGACTGGGGAAGTGGAACAATTTTGTGACTTGTTTGGATTATGCTGAGTGAATTAAAAATAGCTTCCGTCTTAAGTGGCTCCAGTCTACTAAAACGTCCTGAGGCTTAATGCAATCCCTACTGTTTGTCTAAGCCAGAAAAATAAACACAGTATGAAAACATAAGCCATCATGATGCATTAAGACCTGCTTTAGAGTAAACATTTTCCTTCCTGTCCCTTTTTTCTTAGAAGAACTTGCAGTCTTTTCTGCCTTCTCCACTTAAAGCAATACAGCTTGTCACTTGGGGTTTCTGTCCGTTACGCAGAACTGGAAAGGAGGAGATGCTATAAATTTTGAGTTGTCTGGAAGCCCTTGACCTTTGGCATACACAGTTACCTGGATTCAGTCTGGGCATCTCGGCATTGTCGCAGTAGTTACGATAGTGCAAATTCCGTGGTAGTCTAACAGTTTAAGGATTTGCTTGGAGCAACTTGGTATTTTTTTCCTCTGATGTTTACATCGTTGGCCAAAAGAATAGTCTTAATTTGTAGGTTCCAGTAAAATACACTAAACCTGACTGCTTGTATTGCATCGCAAAGATACTGCAAATAATATCTAAATAATAATATGCCTAATAATGGTTTTGAAGGTTCCACGTTCTGACCATTTGGTCTCTAGTATCCAAGTACGCTGAGCAGAATAGTGTACCAGTGACAAGTGAAATATATTTCCGTGTGCCAGCACAGAGACTAAGCTACAAAAACCTGCTACATAGGATCTACTAGCGGGTGACAGTAAAAAACACAGAGTTCATTAATAGTATTATTAACGATCTCCAGAGTAAAAAAATGATAATTTTTATCCTCCCATCTACAGAAGTTAAGAAATAAGTTAACTTTATATACAAAAATGTATCTAACCATAGACATGTTAAATTGTGCACGTTAGTTGACGTTCTGTGATTAAGTTTTACGTTCTTGCTGCTATGGCATCTTCAGTGAGACTGCAGCTGGCCAGCTGGAAGGTTGCATTGCTTGTTTTGGTTTTCTCTTGCATGTCCCTCTTCATGACGGTGGTGTTTTCTGATCGCTTTACCACCTTTTGTCTTCCCTTTCAGGGTTCTGATCCTACAGCTTTTTCTGTACTTACACAAGCTATTACTGGCCAAGTGGGTTTTGTGGATGCTGAATTCTGTACAACTTGTGGGGGAAAGGGAGCAGACAAAAGATGTTCAGTATGTAAAATGGTAAGAATCCATAAATAGTTCTAATGAATCACAAAAAATAGTGCCAGTGAGTTGCTTAGGATTTTGGGTGCTTGACTATTTACTGTGTAGACTTAGGAGTAATGGCATGTATGCCTACACTGAAAATGTGCAAGCTTGAAATTCACAAGCAGGAGTACTTGGATTTTCACGTCTGTATGTTTAAGAATTAAGAAAAAGTAAAATTTCTGTGTCTTTAGAGTAAAGAAAACAAACTGTTCTTTATAGAGTTCTATATAGGTTAGAACACTCCGTATGACCTTAAAAAAATGCGTAAAAATACCATTAGGTAATGTACATAGAGAGATTTAACTTGGTACACTAAGAAATACAAGAATATTGTATAATTTTTTAGTACATAAAGATGAATTGATAGCTCTTGTAACTTTCAGGTGATGTACTGCGACCAGAACTGCCAGAAAATACACTGGTTTACCCACAAAAAAGTCTGTAAGACCCTGAAGGAAATTCATGAGAAGCAAGAACTGGAAGCTGCCAAAGAAAAAAGGAAACAAGAAAAAAAGCAAAAGAAAGGTTAGGATCTGTAGTTTGCTTGCTGAAACTAATGCTGCATTAACTGCACCACAAGAAACAATAGTAACAGGTCTTAAAAACTGTTTTAAGGTTTGGGGTTTTTTTTAAGTTTTTTAACTTAAAAACAGCGGAGGTTGAAAGAAAAATCGTTGCTGTAACATAACAGCATACCTGCATTTGCTGAAACTCCAGTCTTTCAATTTACAAATGCTGTGTACTTTCTAAAATCTGGTTTTTAATGCTAGAGTTACACAGGTTTCTACAATGAAAGCATTCTGAATTACACTGCGTGTTTCACAGTACAGATCTTTAATCAAAATCATGCAGAAGTTTCATGCTACTCTGCCTTTTGTTGGAGATGTTAAAGGAAGCTGGGTAATAAGAAAGCCGTCCACTCCTTCCAGTTTCAAAGGTTAATGTAGATCTTAATTCTGTAATACTTTCTTCTTCATAATCACAGTATTGAATTAATTCTGTTGTGTACTTTGAATGTGAAGAAAGCATTACTCTTTAAACTGTTAATGGTGTTATTATTTCCCTTCAATAAGCAAATAATTAATACATAATGACTGAAAAAAGTGTCACACACCCTCCCCTTTAATTTACTCTGATATGATGTTTCTATAGGTGAAAAACAGGAAACTTGGAGGCGAAACCACTTTTTCTCTTTTCCAGATTATTAGATTCCCCTTCCCTTGTTTTAGGGATTGTGGAAGTGCATGGACAAATCACACTTGCCATATAATGGCAGTGTTCTTCACTTCAGCTGCACTGTAAAAACTATAGCAGGATATAAATCAGTAATGAATTAATAATTATTGAAGTTTTCAACAGCTTTGTGTGATGATCCTGTTACAAAAGTTGCTGTTGCATGGGATCAGGATGACTGTGGAAGCTGGAAGCCCGGATACTAGAAATCCCCGAGTATACTGCAAACCAGTACAGCAAAACGTAACGAGCTGTGAGCAGTGTGATACCTCGCACTGGTGACGGGTACGCACACTTGCAGGTTCATGGTACCTGAAGAAGCCAGTGGCCTGGTGCTGTCCTCTTCAGAGGGAGAGACAGGATCTTGGTGGACGGCTCTTCTCCCTCCCTTCCTAAAAACGGAACCTAGCATGTTCTGACAAGTCACTACTGCACTGTCTGTACCTTCATGTTCATTAACTTGTTCAGCTACGTTGCCAACACACCATAGACCTTGTCAGATGGTGCATTATTAGCAAGACAGTGAATTCATCCTAGCTTCATGTCACCTTGCGAATGCTGGTATATCAAAGCTCCTCATATCAACAGCAGTTTTATTTCAAAAAACTGACAGCTGCAACAGCAAGGAAAACCAAGAGTTTTAAGAGTTTCAGCTGTGCAAGAGTGGACTGTGCTTCAGCCTGCGCATAAGGCAGTTAGGTCCGTGGCCGAAGGAGACCTTGGCAGGGCTTTGGCAGTGTTGTGTGGTGAGCTGTGACAGTGTTTTCAGCTGGCTGTCAGTCATAATGGAGAATAAGAAAGAAACCAAGGTGAACTACTTCTGAAGGTGCCTGGGCCTCCAGCTAGGCTTTACCCTCTTTTCAGAATTGCTAGCATGCAACCCCTACTTAGCAGATTCAGGGCAAAAAGTTATTTAACATTTTTTTTTTTTCTCTGAAAACATTGCTTGGAAAGTAAAGGTGCAATAGCTGGTTCCATTCCCTGCAGTCAGGTTATAAATTTTAGGATGGCTCGCATCAGCCGGAGTTCATCGTGGTCAGCTGCTCATTAGCAAAGAATTTTTTCAGTCTGTTATATCCCATACAGGTTTTTTTTTTTTTTTTAAAAGAAAAAACCCCTCACCTATCCTCTGTGTTTAACCAGCCTGCAGCCATTCTTTGGAATGCGAACTGCAGGAGTAGTGCGAATAAAGCATGTCTGAACTGAAAGTTAAAACAGCTGTAGTGTCCTCCTCTGCTCCTCTCTATTGAAAAGAAGTACGGCAGAATTGAAGATAAACTAATGAAAGCTTTGTGTAGGGTTAGTTTTGGAGTAATCTTAGCATCAGCTTAGGCAGAACTCTAGTGTCTTAGGTCTTTTTTGATGAAGCTTGGTTAAGTTAACAGCTTTTGTGATTGATGCAGCATTTCCTAGTGTTTATTATTCTTCAGTAATAAAAACATTTGCTTGCAGAGGAGTTCAGTGTTTACTAATGATGCAATTTCTCTTTTGTTTAGATGAAGTGCAGCTGGTAGAGGGTAGTTCTACAAGCGAAGAACAGTCAGATCCTGGTCCAGATGCTACCAAAGAAGTGGATCCAAATCACACTAGTGACAGAACGGAAGAACCTGAATCTACCAAAGAGATGGAGGCACTAGCCCTGCACCCTGAAAGTCCCCTGGAAGCCAGTGAGACGGGCGTAGCTGACATTGCTCTTCAAAAAATTCAGGTTTCTGAGGAGTAAGAAGAGGGTAGGAAGGGACTAGGAGTTCTGGCTACATCCCTGTACCTCAAGGGTCCTAAAGAATTTTTTATGCTGACCATGTCTGTGTAGTTACAGCATGGCTTACGCAAGACTCCCTATGACAGACAGCATGTCTCTTTTCATCGTGAGATGAAATACTGGCTAATTTGTCTAAATACTTCAGGTTCTGTTGTAGATTGCCAAAATAGGTATTTATTATCTGATTAAAATCTAGAGTGGCATAGATCCACCTGTATGTGTACCAACAGTAAGCATAGTAAATATCTGTGAGTATCTGTGGTTAATCAGCCACTTAGAGAAAAACAAAAAGCATTTGATTTGGATTATTCATGTTTCCAGAACCTAAAATCTATTTTAATTGTAATTTAAATATTTTTTTTCTGCAAGTACACAAACTGTAGTTAAAAGCATTGGGAAGTCAATGTTAAATTGCTTTTTTACGCCACTTTACGAAGCTTTATGTGAAGGAATGAAGTTTCTGAAAATACTCATCTGAATTCTCAACTTTTCATGACATTAAATATTTTTGACTAGAGAGTGCACAAAAATAGTGTCTATTTTGTGGCAGTTTTATTAAATGATACTACTTTTGCAGATGTCTGAAGCTGACTGAAACGTGTGTTTCAACAGAATTATTTCACTATTGATTTAGTAAAAAATATTGCAAGTTTATGACAGTCTAGTGAAGGGAAGACCAGAATGATTTAAAATATTTTGACTAACAAGAATAATGGTTTCTAAATCTCAACTTTCAGGTAAAAATGCCTTGGAGCACGATGGGATGTAGCTTATGAATTATTTCATAAACATAAAAGATGCTTCATATTGCTCATGCTGGTCACAGTGAATTAAATGGGAAAATTCATGTGTGCACTGACACAACTGAGCTTTCACTTAGGTTTTCAACTAAATATCTTATCTAGAAAATAGCTTCCCTTATCTATGCGGTTTTCACTCAGATTTACTATTGTGTCTCGGTAAATCAATGGGAATGCCACAACCGAAAACACTGCTTGCTGCATAAGGATGGCAAAAGTTGAAGTTCTCTGACTGTTGGGTGAATAACTGGTGTTTTGAACATGGCAGTATCCTTCCACGTAGAGGAATAAGGACCATCCTCAAAATGGAGGAAAAATGCTATTAATTTTTTACTATTTAATATATTGAAAGTTTTTGTTTAATATTCTGAAAACTGTAAAAGTGAGAATACATAACTGTACCTGTGCAGGGAATGTACCTGTGTTATGATTTCAATGATTAGAAGAATAAATTGTGAAGAATAAAGGGAAGTTTTTTAAAAGAAGGGGGCTGAGTGGCAATTCTTGTTTGGTGCGTCTGTTAATGCCTGTTGGAACACGCGGCGACATTCTTTTCCCATTTGGCAGGCATGGGCTCTACAAGTTTAATTTCATGACAGTTGGCAAGCAAGAGCTGCATGCCTGGAACTTGGGTACGGAGTCATGAGGTAGTCACCGTCCGCTCTTGGGTCTGGGAATGCAGAAGTGCAGCTGGTTCCCTCTTCTACGCGCAGCACGTGGGGCTCACTGGAGGTGGTGCTCTTTAAGGTTTCTCTGAAAATGCAAAACCTTTAGGACGAATGATTCGGGATTTTAGAAGTATGGTAAAATCCGCAGCACAAATCCTGCTTTCATTCTGCCGGCCAGTGCTTTTGGTAAAGAAGAAAAGCCCAAGCAATAGGAGAAAGTATGAACATTGGAAGTAGGTGTGAAGTGTGGGGTGACTGACCCAGATTATGTAGTTGTTCTAACTTGAAAAGGCTGGAGACTATGAGCAGAGGCTGCTACGCTTCCCTCTCTGCAGGGAGGCTCAGAGGAGAGCAACTGCAGTCCATGTTAGGGTCCTGGTGGGTGCCTGATGCTCCAGAGCTACCTCTGCCTTCCGCAGCTGGAGCTGGCGACAGCTCTTCTGTTGGAAGACCATGGTTGATAGGTCCTGTGTAAACTTGGGGTAATGACTAGTGCTTGCATAATCATGACTTGGAGGAAACATCTCATGACATGTTACTTACAAGGAACTGTAAGTAAAATGAAAATTCACATGCAGTTTACTGATTCCTTAAGTGAGGTTGTAAGTGACAAGACAGCTGGGGAGCGCAAAGCCAACCGACAAGCTCTCACGCCTTCAGGGGTGCATGAGTCAAAAGACTTTTCTCCCCTCCACTAGGAAAAATGGAATTGTCGTTTCTCCAGCTGTTTGCTAGATGCAAGAACACAGCGGCTGTGACTCTGTCTAGCCTGATTCTTCACAGTTCTGGTGCTCTAGTTGACTTCCGGGCTCAGTGCTTTTCAGTATCGACCGTCTTTTCACCCGGGAAATCTGATTAAGAATAAATAAAAACTTCTCAAACTATCTGAGCCTATCTTCTAGTGAACTAAATGATGCATGTGCAAATCACTTTAGATTTTTGATGCAGGTAGGTTTTCAGAGCTTTTTTTCATCTAACTAAAAAGGGAATTCCCAGCAAAATTTGAAATTACTGTTGTAATTTGAGTATTTCTTCGTATACAAATAGCTAACATTATTCCTTTTTCACCAATGGCTCTGCACCAGACCCAAACCTTTTAACAAAGCTCAAATGGATGAAGAGCTTCTGGATGCCGTGGCAGCATTTTTTATTTAATCTATGTATTCCTGAGATGCTTGTGTGCAACAGTGGGAGGGCCAAAAAATCTAAGAGGTTTTGATGGACTTTTCACCATCAAAGATTATATATGTATAAATTAACTCATTGTCTTTTTCTCTGAGCCCATCTATACGTTCAAAAAGATTGCAATGTCATGTTAAAATTCTTTAACAGTTACTCCTGTAAAATGTATATTTTCTTTTCAAAATCTATATTCTTTGGGGAAAATGTTAAATCCATTGTTAAAAAAGATTCTGTAATAAAATTCTTTATGTTGAAACACTACATTGTGGCATTCTCTGAGCAGAAAGCTGAAACAAGTTTTCTCCAATCAAAAGAAGATGGGTAGAAAAATATTCCAGGCCAGAAATACCGTGCCTCTAATTTGATGCAAAAATTTGAAATCAGTGACATTTACTCTGAAATGATGTTGCTTACTACCTTAGACTCGCTCCAAGTTCCAAGTGGGATTCAGTCTGCTTCTAGAGAAAATCTCTTAAACGCAGCCTTTTCCGTGTCTGTTGTGACATGTAAAATCTACAGATTCTGGGATTGTGAAATAGCTGCTATGACATTATTACATCATAGATGACCTCCATGAGCAGAGTCAGAGTTCAAGACTCAAGACAAACCAGGGATAACACTTAGTAAATCCCAACAGTTACTTAGAGAGGGCCTCTTTAAGAAAACACATGAGCTGAAGCTTAGTTTGGTCTAGCTTCTCTGTGGGCTGATTCAGTTTGAGAAATTAAACGTTCTTGAAACCTAACTGAAACCAAGGTGTTGGGCTAAATTTTAAAACCATAAAGATGAGGCTAATGTAAGGACATTTACAAAATGGATGGAACTTTAAACAAGAAAAATAGGGAAGTTGAAATCAAAAAGGAAGAAATCTCATATCAAAAAGGTGAACAGAATGATGAGATTTAACAAAGAGGAAGTCCTGTATCTGGGATGGAGTAATCCCAGGCTCACCTGGAGCCAGCAGTATGCCCTGGCAGCACCAAGAAAGAGAACTGGTGCCATGCATCAGTGACGACAAAAGTGTAGTGCAGCCGGCAGACCACAAGTGTCATTATTCCACCTGGTAGTTGCTAGGCCATGTCTGGAATACTGTGTCCCATTTTGGTCAACTCAGTTCAAGCGAGCCATTAAAAAACAAGAGGTGCAGAGAGAGTGCCACCATGACTATCAGAGGGTTGGCGGAATTTAGTTTGTTCAGAGAAGAGAAGACCTGGGGAGATCTAATCACAGCCTTACGAGACCTAGAGGTAGTAACAGAGAAGATGGGGGATGCACAGTGACAGGACAATAGCCAACAGGCCCAAGTTGTTGCAGAGGAAATTCCATCTGAATATAAGAAAAATGCGCCGGAGTGCAGTTAAACACTGCAAGAGATCACCAAGAAGTGGTGGTACCTCCCTCACCTTGACAGGGCACTGGATAACCTAATCTCTGACTGCGCTTTCAACGGGAAGGTTGGGCTCGATAAGCTCCAGGGATCTCTGCCAACCTAGACTCTGCTGTGACTTCGTGCTAACTTCGGAGAGAAAGAAGGAACTCAGAAGACAAGGCTGAAGACAGGCTTTGATATGTCAGATAGCATTGACTTTAAGCTTTTGGCAAAATGGAGGGAGAAAGATGTGAGGAAATATTTTATTTTCCATCTGTATGCCCATCTCCCACCGGCTTAGTGCTAACAGGCTTTAGGAGCTGAAAGCACCCGGTGTAGCGCTGCACGACCCATGCGGTTATCAATGAGAGTGTTCAACCCAGCCAGCGGTCGTGGGGCAGAGCCTCGCGCATGGCAGGGCCCGTCTCTCCAAAGGGACCGCTCCGCAGAGGCCTGCATCCCGGGGGATTAGCAGCCACAGCCAACAGCGAGGCATCGGCATGCGTCAGAGCTCATGGCTCCGCTGTACTGAGACCAGATGAATATCCTCAGAAAACCAGTTTTCAGTCACTCGTGCAGCACACAAATTAAGAAGTTTGAAACTTTAAACGCTCTCAGACGTGAGAAAAGTTAATGGTTGCTTTCTTGTATCTTTCTTTTGAGGGAGGAAGACCAATTAACTGCCAGTGAAGACGGTAAGTCTAATCCTCCAATAGAAACTAGAAAGATTGAAATTATTTATCCTTAGCTTCTTAACAATTAACTTGCAGTTTAGCTTTAATAATATCTGATAACAAAAGTATGGCAAGCATTGCATTTAAAGCAACTTTTGTTGTAACATTGCCACTATCATTTGTTTTCTTAATTTCTTCACTCTCCGTATTACATATCTGGTGATAAAAGGAATGTTACACTTTTATACTTTTTTTGCTGGAAGTTCAT